GCTCAGGAATGAGAGCCTGAACGACAGGCTGCGGCGGCAGGCTGGGGAGGCGCTGGAAGGGTTGGTGCTTGGCCCGGCCGTTGCTGCGGGGTCGTACGGCCGGTGGGTCAGGGTGGTTGCGCTCAGCGCCACGTGCGTGCCAGGGACGGCGAGCGCTTTTGCTGCGCAGCAGCCTCGATTTGGGCAAAAGGTTCCTGCCAGCAACAGGCTCATGCCCGTTTCGTCCAGCTTTTGCGCCCGTTTCCATCCTCCGCTTTTACGCCCGGGTGCGCCTGCCATGAAGCGCCACCGCCGCCAACCACCGCCAACTGCCGCCAACCGCCGCCAACCGCCAGGGTGTACAAGGGGACCTACCAGGGGTCAAAGGTGGCCGTGAAAATTATGGAAGCGGACGCAGTCACCCGCAAGTGAGGGCGCCGCGCGCGCGCGCCGCGCCCGCTCTGAGGGGCTGAGGATCCTTAGCGGAGGAAGGGCCGAAAAGCCCTCCTGCGCTGATGGAACATCGCAGGGCCCCCGAGCACGCACCCAAATGCACCCGCTGCACGCTGCTGCCGCCCTCTGCTGCGCCCGACCCTCCCAGGGATCCGACCACAGGCGCGTCAATGGAAGCACTGCTGTCTGCATCCCTATCTCATCCCAACATCGTCCGCACACTGAAATGGGCCTCGGTGCACGGGGAGGTGCGCGCCTGCGCGTGCTTTGCGTGGCGCCGCCACGCGCCAAGGGCGGGCGGCGGCCGGGCCCAGTGGGTGCCCGCGCCGCCGCGTGCGGGCGCGTGAGAGAGAGAAAATCGGCGCGGGGGCCGGATGCGCAGGGGCGGACGGCGCGTTCACGCGCCTCGCCGTGCGACCGAGCATCCCAGTCGCTTTGGCGCTTGGGGCGGATCACCCTCTGGGACACTTTTCTGGGTCGACTGCTTTGAGTTCCCATGCTGAATCCCACAGTATCCAGCCTGACGACACCAGCAACCTGACGCAGCCCCGGCCCGGCGCACGCGCCTTGTCGGGCCGCGAAGCTTCTTGCGCGGGCCCGTCGTGCTGCGATGACGTCATCTTTACTCATTATTACTATTTTTGCTCTCCGCAGGACCGGCTGGAACAGCCCAGGCTGCTGCTGGGGGAGACGCTGCCGCCGCCCGACAACCCGGCGCTGACGAGGATACAGGAGCTGCGGGCTCAGGCGCAGGCGCTGGCTAAGGCGCGGCAGGAGGGGCCTCCGCAGCAGACGCAGTCGCGGCAGCAGCAGCAGCAGCAGCAGGAGCAGCAGCAGCAAGAGCAGAAGCAGGAGCGTGAAAGGCGTCGGCGACAGGAGAAGGAGGAGGAGCAGCAGCAGCAGCAGCAGCGGGAGCAGCAGCGGTGGGAGCAGCAATACAGGGCGTCCGAGGTAGTCGTTCTGGACGACGCCGTGCCGTGCGGCGGCGCCGCCGGCGAGGCCGTCGGCGGCGGTCCGGGCGGCGCTTGCCAAGACCCTCAGACGTGGATGGGTGCGCATGCATCTCGGGCCGAGCCAGGCGCCTCTGGGCCTGGCGCGTGTGGGGGCGGAATTGTTTTGCACCAGCTAACCGAGCCCGGTGGGATGCTGGAGTGCCCCTCTCTCACCCCTCCCCCCCCCCCCGCCGCTGCCCCACGCCCCGCGCAAGCATTGAAACTGCTGCATTTCCTCGTCCCGCCAACTCAATCCCTCCTGTGCACGCATGACCCTCCCTTGCCTTGCACACGCCGCCTCCCCTGCTTTCCGTCTTCTTCTTTCACCACCAGTACTGGAGTATTGCGACAGGGGCTGCCTGCAGGTGCGGCACAACCGCGTGCCGCGAACAGCGGCCGCGGCCGGCATGCAACCCTAGTGAAGTGATGCTTCTCTGAAATGAAACCCCCATGCAAACACAACCCCACCCAGCCAAAAGCGAAAACTCGCATGCAAACAAAACCTCCCACAGGATGCTATTGACCAAGGGTGGCTCCGCGACAGCCCCTCCTTCAAGACGGGCCGCCCCAACACCCTCGCAGTGCTCGCCACCGCGCGCGAGGTACGGGCGCGGGCCGCGGCTTTTTTTGCGCGCGGGCACGCCGGCGCCGTCGGCCCCCCCTCCGCCCGCCCGGCCCGCCCAGTCCTGCCACGTTGTGGTTCGTCTGCGCGTGGCGGCTCGCCGGCCGCCGCGCGTCCGCGGCCGTTTGCATAGCTTTGCGTCTCGGCCCGGGAATCCGGCGGACTCACACCCCTGATCGCTGCCGGATCCCGTTGGGAGCGGAATCCCAAAGTTTTTTTGGGGGGGCACCCTAAACCCTAAACCCACGACCTGGGAATTCCGACGATGACAATCGGTTTGGACCAACACCCCCTTCACCCCCCCCCCCAGATCGCGTCGGGGATGGCGTACCTGCATTCCCAAAACGTCATCCACGGGGACCTGTCCGCCTTCAACGTCATGCTGTCATCCGCGGCCCCCGGCGCCGCGCTGTGCGGGCGCGGCTTCGTGGCCAAGGTCGCAGGTGAGTGTGGGTGGTGCGCGTGGTACGTGTATGGGTTTAGGGTTCAGGCTTCAGGGCTTTGAGTTCACAATCACAGCCCGCCGGGCCGCTTCGAACCAACCAGCCGCGACGCCCGGCGCGCCAAGCGGCTCAGTGCAGCCCTCCCTGGACGGCCGGAACCGCGCCGTCTCGAAAAAACGTTGCCCGACCCGTGTGTGCCGCCCGAACAAAGCCTCGTGCTGATCAAAGCCTTGTCTCTGCGCTTCCTCGTATCCTCCGACAACCTCGGCCCGGTCAGACTTTGGGCTGTCGCGGGTCCTGGACTGCGGCAGCAAGATACAGACCAGCACGTACGGCACGATGACCGCGATGGCGCCAGGTGCGCCGCGCCGCCGCCGCCGCCGCCGCCGCCGCCGTTGCTGCCGTCGCCGTCGCGGCCCCGCCTGATCCAGCTCTGCCCCCTGCTCGCTCGTTTGTGTGCTCGCCGGCTGCCCTCACGTTTCCTTCAGAGTCCCCGCACTGCTTTTTAACACGCCACGTCCCTGCTCCGCCCTTTGCGCCTTCCACGGCGCCGTGTTATGCCCCAAAACTCGCCCCAACAAACCCTGCCCCAAAACTCGCCCTAACAACTGCGGCCGCCGCGGCCCTGACATCCAATCCAATCCATCAGAGGTGCTGTCTCAGGGCGTGATCAGCAAGCAGGCCGACGTGTACAGCTGGGGCGTCCTGCTGTGGCAGATGTGAGGGCGGGGCCGGGGACGGGGTGGCCCGGGCTGGTCGGTCATGCGTATGTGTGCATCGCGTGCGTGATCTGGGCGGGAAGCATGAGCGTGTGCGCCCGTGCGTCATGTGTGTGTGGTTGTGTGCGTGCATTTGTGTGTGTGTGTGTGTGCGTGCGTGTGTGCGTGCGTGCGTGCTTGTGTGCGTGTGTGCGCCCGTGCGTCATGTGTGTGTGGTTGTGTGCGTGCATTTGTGTGTGGGTGTGTGGGTG